TTTTTTTTTTTTTTTTTTTTTTTTTTTTTTTTTTTTTTTTTTTTATATATATATATATATATATATATATATATATATATATATATAAATCAAGTGTAACCGTGGAAACCCTGTTTAAATGATAAAAGTTCAGAAGTCTTGTAACTCCAGAGTTTTTCTAATGCATATTTCAATGAGAGCCCTATAAAGTGTAAAAGTGATTTCGCCAGAATTAAAATGTACTCATTATTTACTCTTCCAAACCTTTATGTGTTTCTGTTAAACACAAAGGAAGATATTTTGAAGAATGCTGAAAGCCTGTAAACACTACAGGAAAAACATTTTCTAACATTTTTCAAAATCTTTTTTTGTTCAAGAGAAGAAAATGAGAGAAAAAAGGGAGAGTAAATGAAAAATTCAGTCTTCATTTTGAGAGAACCATCCTTTTAATACTATTAAACTATTAATATTCAACCATTATTATTATTATTATTGCACATTGTTTGTCCTAGTTTTCCCCAACCACAGCACACTGAATACAGAATACTTCAACATTTCAGCTCGTCTGATTCAGATGGCACTTATAAGAACTTACAACGTGAATCAAGTAAACGTGAACAGGAAAAAAAACTAGAATGACCTTACAGTAGAAAATAACTTTATACATATATTTTTTTTTTAATTTGATAACTTTACTGTATTACTGTATTTTTTACTGTGCTGTTATTCATTAATTTCCCAGTACTGGGTTGCAGCTGGAAGGGCATCCGCTGTGTTAAAACTAAGGATAAGTTGGTGCAGGGTTTCTACAGGTTTCATCAAGTCAAATTTAAGACTTAAGACTTTTTTAAAGACCATTACGAAGGAAATTTCAGACTTACACGAGGCTAAATGCTAAGGAAACATGAAAAAAAAACAATTAAAAGCTAATTTTATTGTATGGAAGATAGTTAAACCATATGTTTATAAATAAATAGAGTTAATAAATGAACTTTTACTTGAGAGGAAGGATAGTAATTGGATGGCTGTTGGTCTGATTGGGTAGCTTAATATAGACATTGGAAAATTCAGACCTGTTTAAAATGACTTAACATAATATTTTAGTGGATTTAAGACTTTTTAAGGCCTACATTTTTATTTTTGAAGACTTTTAAAGACCCTGCGGACACCCTATGGTGGTTCATTCCGCTGTGGCCACCCCTGATGAACAAAGGGACTAAGCCGAAGGAACATGAATGAATGTTATTTATTCACTTCACTTTCCTGTAAGTTAAATTTAGTTTACCATCTACCATAAACATGTAGCTTACCATTAAAATGCACTACATTTTAATAACATTCATTCATTCATTATCTTGTCGGCTTAGTCCCTTTATTAACCCGGGGTCGCCACAGCGGAATGAACCGCCAACTTATCCAGCAAGTTTTTACGCAGCGGATGCCCTTCCAGCCGCAACCCACCTCTGGAAAACATCCACACACACACACTCATACACTACGGACAATTTAGCCTACCCAATTCACCTGTACCGCATGTCTTTGGACTGTGGGGGAAACCGGAGCACCCAGAGGAAACCCACGCGAATACAGGGGGAACATGCAAACTCCACACAGAAACACCAACTGAGCCGAGGCTCGAACCAGCGACCCAGCAACCTTCTTGCTGTGAGGCGACAGCACCACCTACTGCGCCACTGCTTCGCCCCCACAGCTAACATTATACACTGTAAATTTTACACATGCAACATTGAGTTCCGGCAACCACAGCTATCATTTGTTTACTGTAAATTCGACAGAACGCAGCTTACTTCAACACTGCATCTCTTCTGACATCAGTGTGTGTGTGTGTTTTCTCCACAGACGGCGATCTCCCTAACAGCATCGACACCAGTCTATCCTTCCAGTTCCTGCAGGAGAAAGGCCACAGCGTTCAAGTCCTGCAGTCCTCATTATGGCTGTACCTGCGTCCATCTGAAAGCAGCCGCATCAGCGCAGAAATATACCTGTCGGACAGCACAAACCGAACCCTGGTCCTGCAGAGGAGCGTAGACGCGGCGCGGGGCGGATGGCACACCTTCCCCGTCACAAGCACACTGCAAGCATTTCTGGACGGCGGACAGCGGCGTCTGCGTCTGGAGGTGCAGTGCCAAGATGCAGGACGAAACCTGTGCAAGAAAGAGCCGACAGAAGACTCGTCCCATCAGCCGTTTCTAGTAGCACAAGTGCGTCTGCGTGAAGATCCGTCCAAACACGCGCTCAGCAAACGCTCCCTGCGCTGCGGCGACGACGTGACCGTGTGCTGCAAGAAAGACTTCTATATTAAGTTTCGAGACATTCAGTGGCAGGACTGGATCATTGCTCCTGAGGGCTACCACATGAACTATTGCATGGGTCAGTGTCCGCAGCATTTATCCGGCTCTCCCGGCATCGCTTCCTCATTTCACGCTAGTGTTTTCAGCCAGCTGAAAGCGAACGGTATCAATACCGCGGTGTCGTCCTGCTGCGTGCCCATTCAGAGACGCCCGCTGTCTATGGTCTACTTTAATTCACAGCACACTATTGTGAAGACCGACGTGCCGGATATGATTGTTGAGTCGTGTGGGTGCACATGAATACTGCTCATGTGTTTTTTGGGATTATTTATAGTTGAAGAGTAAATTATTAATGTGAAATTTAAATGCAGATATTTCCCTAAGTGCTGTTCTGTTCTGTTTCATCAAGCTAATTGCTAATGACTAACTTCTCTGATATTTGCCGTGATGGCAGTGCATCCTATTTTACTAGTTGCTTTGCAACATACTTAAGTGCAATTTAAACGCTTAACTAGTTAACTATAGTAATTAACTTATTTATTTAGGTAAGTGGTTGCAAACAATTTATATGGGCTGAATTTAAACAGACATTACTAAATCTAATTTGTTAGCCCATATTAATTGTTTGCAATCACTTACCTTAAACTAATTAGTAAATGCAATGCATCATTTTGTTCAGTATAGGTTTAATAGGTTAACACCCCATTCACACGGGGCTTCAGCGTCAACGCTTGACTGAAGGTGTGTCTGGAGTTGGGGCTGATGCGATCGTCATAGCAGCGTCAGCCAATGAAATTAATCAGCAATAGGCCACTGTCTGAGCTGGTGTATTTTGCATACAGCGATCTGATTGGCTGACGCTTCCGTCGGCGCTTGAAAAGTTGAGCTAGTCCCAACTTCTGCTGTGAGCAACGCCTCTGAAGCAGCGCCGACGGATCCACAATGCAGTTCGGCAACGCCTGACGTCACCCATTCAAAGTGAATGGGAAGCGTTGATGCCCCATGTGAATGAGGAGTAACTAGGTTAATATGCTAAAGGGCTTTTAACTTGCGAGTGACCTAGGTTAAGCGCTTCCAGTGAACCGTATGCCATTGCAAAATCGGTTTAAGGTTTGTTTTCTTTAAAAATTAGCGCTGTCCACTGGCTGAGGGATATACAATATTAAATGGGTCTCAGATGCACTGCATTAAATTACATTTCCCCCGGCCATGTCTTTATAATATGAGCATTTCCTTTACCCCAGTTTATCAATGGAGCTTCTGCGCTAGCCTGCACTCTCAGAAATAAAGGTATGTGAGCGGTCACTGGGGTGGTATCTTTTTAAAAGGTAAACATTTGTACCTGTAAGGTGCATATTAATACCTCAAGGGTACATATTAGTACCTAAAAAGTACAAAAGTGTTCCTCTTAAAATGTTTAGGTACTAATATATGCTTTTGAGGTACCAATATGGACCATTTAGGCCCAAATGTGTACCTTTGAAAAGGAACCACCCCAGTGACAGCTCACATACCTTTATTTCTGAGAGTGTGCCGATTCTGCACGTGCGAGTGAATGCTGTTTTCATTTTAAACTTGAGCAACTCAATGAATGCCAAAATCTGTTTAATTGATTGTATTTGAATGACATTAAGACATCGATGCTGTAAAAGGAACCGTATAAAATATTAAAAAACTCACATTAACCATTCCCCGGAAGTTTATCAGCATGGAAAGAAGCACTAGCTCGGCGTATACCCTATTTTTGGATAACTGTGGTTCATTCTGTAGCCAATCGGAACAGGAACGGTAAATATAATCACATTAAAAACTGCTTTTATTCCAGCCAAACAGGAAATTATAGGAAATTATGTGATGCTCTGTGTAAAGGCACTTGGGAGATAAGTGTTCAAATTTCAGTAATAATTTGGCCTTCAACTGTATCTGCTGAAATACTCTCTAATGGAGGCTTTGGCTGCATGTGAGCAAAGCTTATGCATTATAGTTCCTTATAAAAATGCTCAGGGAAATCAAAGTCACTGTAAGCGCAGACTGACCTGTGATGCGGAGGAAACACAGGGTTCCCACGGGTCCAGGAATTTCTGGAAGAGAGCAGATTCCAGATGTTAAACGTATTTTTATATATATTTTTGTCCAGGTCATGGAATATCAGGGATTTGTGTGTGTCACTTTAAATTGTTCAAATCTAATTGGTTTATATCATGCTGTTTCACGTCTATTGTGGTTATGTTTAGGCTATTTTCAGCTCAATTGTAATTATTATCTTGCTCATTGTAAACATTTGTTGTTGCCTTAATGTATTTAGTTCAAATAAATCTATATATCAACTTACATCATTTAAACAGACTTAAAAAAGCAAGTTTAAAACATTTGCAACTTAAAAAAGTAACATAAAACGACTCACTGATCATTATTTTACAGTGTTGAATTGACTGGAGTCAATTGCAGTCACCAGGCAAGGCTTTTTAGGAGAATATAAGAGCTTTGGCTTCAATATTTGACTTTTAAATGAAAACTTAAGCTAAATATAAACTGTTATTGAGCTAATCTAATCAGAAACTGAGCAATTGTTGTTCTCATAGAGGCTATTAAAGTCATGCAAGATAATATTCAAGCTTAAATAATTTTAATATGACAATGCAATTATTTTAAGATGTTAATCTGATATTATATTATTAATATGCAAGCACAACAGCGGCCTACATTTCCATTCAATTCAGCTTATTAGTCAGCGAAAGGATATTTGATATTGAAGTGGGAACCCTGTATGTATTTACATAATATTTGTGCATGGGTTGTGGAAGTGTTGCATCAGAATCTGAGAATAGTTCTCTTCTTTTGTGACTGTTTACGCTACATTGCACCAGCAAATGCAACTAAATCTGTGTTCCAAGCTGCTTTATTCAGTTCAAACAGACACACTTTGGCTTTTATTTTGTAATATTAATACATTTTATTTATGGGATAATCTGCAAACAGTACAATAATCTACATTGCACATGTTACACGTGTATTTCTGCCATGTTTATGTGTTTATTTTTGTGTGTGTTATGACATTTCTCACTTTTTTATTTAGTTTGAAGCACTTCCTAGGGATGCACACTAGCTAGTGTAGGGTTTTAGGCTAACAGTGGTTTTTGCACTTTACCTGTTTTTTTTTTTTGCCTAGCTAAGCCATGCACACCCAATCTACAATGTGTGTTTTGTGTATTTTTTTAGCTTTGACTGAAATATGATACTGTAACTTATGGCACAGCTCCCTCCGAAGGAGCACAGAGATTAATCCTTTCTATAATTTTTTATAATAAAGGGATATTTTCTTGGAAATAAACATGTTGTACTTTGTAATTTTGCTGAATATGTATATATTTTTAAAAATAAAGAGTTTTTTAAAGCATTTTCCTCATTCGTTCTGTTTATGAGACTCAAATACGAGGTCAAAGGTCACTTTAAAAGACTGAATAAATGCAGATGAAATCCTTGCTGATATTACAATATCCCTCTATGTCATACAGTCTCTTATCAGCTGACAAGATATTGATCATTACCCCTGGAAAAGAGCAGCATTTCTGTGAAGTCGATCAATAATGTCTAAAAGGCAAAGAGCGTGTTTGCTCGAGCAAATAATTGAAGTGGCTTTTATAGATGTCTTTATTTGACGAGTAAACAACGGTGAAATATTTCTGGCATGGCTTCAATCGTTTATAGACAGAGAGACAAAAATGGACGATTTACCATGAAGATATGATCATTTGGTTTAGTTGTGAATGTGATATTGAATGTATATTTGTAAATAAATATAAAAATATATAATAAAATAAAGGAAACAAAATAGTATATAAATGCAATACCTGACAAAAGTGTTGTGGCCTATCCAAGTTTTAGGAAAACAAATAATAACTTGACTTCTAGTTGATGATTTGGTATCAGAAGTGTCTCTATGAAAGGTGAAGGCCTCTAGATTTTGCTTATTTGAGCTCAATAAAATCTGATCATGCCTTGTTTATTAATGATTTGATTAGGACAGTGCAGTCTGACTCTGCTCAGACTAAAGTCTCATCACTGAACAGAAATAATGTCCAGTATAGAATATAAAGTCCTGCTGCAGTGGAGACAGAATGAATATTGTGTCTGACTCCATCATGAGCTTGGAGGACTGCATCCATACATCTCTGACATGACTCACATCACTGATTAATAAAGTCATCTGGAATGAAGAAGAAAGCGTTCAGCAGGATCCCAGAGCTCATCAAGACTCTTCGTGTTCATCTTCAACACCTCCTCCTTCATAAGCTCAATAATGTTCATGTCTGGTGACTGGGCTGGCCAATCCTGGAGCACTCATTGCTTTCAGGAGCTTTGATGTGGAGGCTGAAGTATGAGAAGGAGCGCTATCCTGCTGGAGAATTGTCCCTCTCCTGTGGTTTGTAATGTAATGGGCAGCACAGATGTCTTGATCCCTCAGGCTGTTGATGTTGATCATCCTCTCTGCAGATCTCTCGCACGCTCACATACTGAATCAACCCCAAACCATGATGTTCCCTTCAGCAAACTTGACTGATTTCTGTGAGAATCTTGGCTCCATGCTGGTTCCAGTAGGTCTTCTGCAGTACTGGTGATGATCGGGATGCAGATCAACAGATGAAATCCACCTTCTGACACTTTTACACACGATCAACTAGAAATCAAGTTGTTATTTGTTGCTCTCACAACTGAGATCCAGCACACGACTTTTGCCAGGTAGTGTGTGTGTATATAAATAATACACATGCTGTAGTGTCCAAAGGTCTGGGTTTTCTTTCAAATCTGTAAATAAACAAAACATTAGGAAACACATTAAAAGAAAAGTTATTTATTACAACCTTAAATGCAGACATTCAGGTGACACCTTATGTAATGCATTTTCTAACAAGAATAAACTAAAAACATTACATTTATTACTGTATTTATTCATCTTTTTTAACATTAATGAATGTAAATAAAGCCGTTTATTGTTAGTTCAGGTGAACTTGCAGTGCATTAATTAATATTAACAAGAATTTGAATAATGCATAAGTAAATATTGAACTCATTTATTAATTTTTCTTGAGTTTAGTCTTTATTTCAGAGACACCACAGCGGAATGATCCGCCAACTATTCCAGCATATGTTTTATGCAGTAGATGTCCTTCCAGCAGCAACCCAGCACTGGGAAACAGCCATACACACTCATACTCATACACTATGGACATTTTAGCTTACCCAGTTCCCCTATAGCGCATGTGTTTGGACTGTGGGAGAACCGAAGCACCCGGAGGAAACCCACGCCAACACTGGGAGAACATGCAAACTTCACACAGAAACACCAACTGACCCAGCCGGGACTCGAACCAGCTACCTTCTTGTTGTGAGGCCACAGTGCTAACCAATGAGTCACCATGCCACCTCTAAATGTTGAACGATGATTAATAAATGCTGCATAAACATAGTTCAATATTCGGTCATGTTAGTAAAAATATTAACCAATTAAATCTTATTGTAGCTCAAACGACCTTCCAATGGAACTCAAGTGGGTTGTTTTAACCAAATATTGGGTCAAATCAGTACATACCCAGTCATTGGGTTAAAAAGTGTCATTTAATTTATTTAAATAAACTCATTTAATCAGTGTTGGGTTTGTCCATGTTTAACCCGACATTGGGTTAAAAACCACCCAGCATGTTTTAGACTCTATACAGTCCTTCAGTAAGACTCATTTACTGCTTTATGTTCATTTTTATTTTTAACCTTTTTGCCTTTATTATTAG